GTCCGGGAACAGGTAGGGAAGAGAGAGACGGCCTAGTGCGGCAGAGGCCGGTGAGGAGTAGCAGGCAACGACAGCAGTGTACAGTGCCTGTGCAGTCTTGTGCTGCCCAAAGTGCTTGCGCTCATCTATCGGCAGGGAGTTGCGAATAGCAAAGCGAGCGTGGGCGTCACGATTCTGCCACTGTGAGTGGGCAGTGCTGTCATTAGTAGCAGCAGGAGCAGGAGCATGGCCTAGGGCGTGATCGTGCAATGAGATGTCCTCCTTGGCAGTGAGCTAAAGGAAGAGGTGTAGGTCATCTAGCCAGGTTTCGAACTTCACTGGGCGGCCCTCAGCATCGAAAGCTAGTACAGGAGGGATAGCCATAGTAGTAGTAGGAGTAATAGCAGTAGGGGCACCCCAAAAACAGTAGGCAGTGCGACTCAGGTAGGGCGGCTCGGTCCTGTACGGGCGGCGCGGCTCGGTTCAGGTAGGGCGGCGCGGCTCGGGAAGGGCGGCGCGGCTCGGTTTGGGCTGGGCGGCTCGGTTCGGGCGGCTCCGTTCGGGCTGGGCGGCTTGGTTCGGGCGGCTCCGTTCGGGCTGGGTGGCTTGGTTCGGGCTGGGTGGCTCGGTTCGGGCTGCTCAGGTAGGGCGGCTCGTTCTGGGGGGGGGGCGTTCGGGGCCTCTAGGGGCAAGCGCGGGGCCGTAAGGGGCCGCTAAGGGCGAGCGCGGGGCCGTTCGGGGCCTCTAGGGGCGAGCGCGGGGCCGTAAGGGGCCGCTAAGGGCGAGCGCGGGGCCGACGGGGGCCTCTAGGGAGGTGAGCGCGGGGCCGACGGGGCCGTTAGGAGCGATCGCGGGGCCGTCGGGGCCTTAAGGGGCGGCGCGCGAGTCGCTAAGGGGCGGGTCGTTCGCGGGGCCTTAGAGGGCCGTGAAATCCGAGGTGCCCTATGGCGCAGGTAGGTAGGTAGGTAGGTAGGTAGGTAGTGGTGGGCCCTAAAAAAAATCGGTCCTAGGAAGGACCTGCTCTATACCATGTTGAAATGAATGAACAGGAAAATGGTTGAACTAACAGTGAAATCAGTACAAGTACCTAACCCTAGAATTGTGTACCCCCTATAGGCTAACCCACTGTAGCCTAAACAAGCACAACATATATAATGTTTGACACGCTGGGTGTAAAGTAAAGTCCAGCCACATGTTGTCCAGCGCGCAACGGCGACTGGGGACCAATCACATGAGACGATTTCACCAACAATTTTGATAACGCAGAGTTAGCCAACAAGAGAACACTTCAAAGATGACGTGTTCTCATACAAGACCAGCACAATATTGAGATGACGTGCAACAGCAATGCGTTGGAAGGACAAATCACGTCTCTCCGCTGCTTCCAAAAGGTGAACAGTACATGCGATACAATTTGACGTTCCGATACTAACCTCTATTGCATTGCAAACCAACTTCTTGTTCCCATAAGTATCACAAATTGTTACAATCATATGCGATTTTATCCTTGTGGACACGATTTTCTCCAAGAACGTTAACATATTTCACTTTCATTTTCTGCTAGTGATTTCCTACGTTGTAAAAAAATGTCTTAATCAATCAAAATCATACTACACGAGGAAGATAAAAGGTCATTATTGGTTTTCATATGCCACTATTTTCTTGAACGTAAAATACATAACTTCTTGTGGTATCTATGGCCACCTAATTATACGACAAGTACTAACATTTATATGGTGACAACCCATATTTTAATATGGAAGGATATGTGTGGACGATCTGTATTGTTGATAATTTTGCAGCATCATGCCTATTACTTGTCATCAGGATCATCGAAACAATAATGTATGTCATGCATGACTATCCATGTATATATTTCCCTACTCAATTTGTGAAAATGAGCGGTAGGATTAGGAGCCATAGCTAGGAAAGCCCTAGCTAGGCAAGAGACAGTTTAGGCAAAAGAGGAGGATTGCACTAGCAAGAATGAGGATACAAATAGCAAACCCTAGAAGGGTTGTACTCGCTATAGAGCACCCCACTACAGGCTAGAGCATAACATTCTGAGACACCCCCATAGCCAAAGTGGGGTGTAATTAGCAGAGCAAGCAAAGCAGTACAAGCTCAGGGTGGATCACAATGTCACCACACATTCTGAGCACAAGTTCAAGAAGCAATAGTTTAAAGTTCACAATTATGAGCAAAGCTAGTGGTAGTCACAACGGGCAAGTGAGGAGGAGGATGGACAGTGAGAGGAGAGGAGATAGGAGGCGACGGCTGAAGCTGCAGACACACGGGCAACAGGAGGCACACTGGCACAGCGGCTACCGGAACAACGCTCCGGACTACTGGAGTAACTGGCCCCGCGGCTAAAAGTAGCGGCAGACGAGCAACGGACCCACGGGCGACTGGTACAGGTGGCTGCAACTGGGCTACCGGAGCAACTCCCCGGACTACAGGTGCTGCTGGCGACACGACGGCAACCTCCGTTCAGCTTCCCAAACAGTACCCACCCCCCTGACACACACCCCCTGCTTCACCCGTAGCTCCACTCCCCCTTCACCCCCCCTTAGTACCACTCCGACGGCTCCAACAGGTCCACCCCCCCTCAGCGGCAGCTGCATCACAGGGAGACGGAGGAGGAGGAGGAGCAGGGAACGGCACACAAAAGCTGCACCCCCATACCCCTCACCCCCAAACCCTAATCCAGGAGACGGGCAGAAGGAGGGGTGGGGCGCCTTCAGAAGCACGGGGGACAGCGGGGAGGGCAGTGGCAGCAAAGAACGGGCCGCCCACGGGCCTGGCACAGCCTCCCGAGCCGCGCGCAGGCGGCCCGAGCCGCGCGCGGGCCTGGCGCAGCCCGTACGGGCCGCGCGCAGCCTGTACGGGCCGCGCGCAGGCCACGACGGGCGACGGGGGGCGACGCACGGGTCCCCGTCGCCCGTCGCAGCGCCTCTTGGGGGCGACGCGCCGAGTGACGGGGCAGAAACCCGTCGCGCGCCTCGGGGCGCACGGCGGGCAGCAAACCGCCGCGCGCCTCGGGGCGCACGGCGGGCAGGGCGCACGGCGGGCTGAAAACCCTAATTTCGACGCCGCGCACCACGGGGCGCGCGACAGACAGGGAGTAGCAGTAGCAGCGGAAGCAGTGAGGTGGGGCCCACAGGCCAGGAGCATATCGCTCTAATACCATGTGAAAATGAGCGGTAGGATTAGGAGCCATAGCTAGGAAAGCCCTAGCTAGGCAAGAGACAGTTTAGGCAAAAGAGGAGGATTGCACTAGCAAGAATGAGGATACAAAGAGCAAACCCTAGAAGGGTTGTACTCGCTATAGAGCACCCCACTACAGGCTAGAGCATATCATTCTAACACAATTGTTTGCAACAGCACAACTTCTTATGTGGTGCGAATTGTTTGTCCTTGCCGTCGCGGTGTACTTGTCAAGTTAAAGGTCGCTGACCTTTGACCTTCGCGTAACCTCTAGCAGTTGTTTTTTTTGTCAACCTCTGGTGGTTGACTCACCGTTGTTTATTTGTAGTTCGCCTTGTTTGTGGTTTGGTGTCATGACACACAAGAAGCGTTTAATCAGTTGTTTCCTACAACAAGAAGGCGTTGAAATGACAACATGTCTAGCTCATGCCTATCCTTGCACAATTTTCCCAATTCAATTGTTTAAAACATTATATCTTCATATCACGAGGTGCGAATGGTACCAAACTTGTCTAGCATGCTTGCAACGTACTAAACGTTTGTAGTATCAAAAGAAACCCAGCTAGAAATAACTATAAGATGTCTAAACGAAACCGCATAAAGCTGAGACCTATCCTTGCACAGTTGTCCCTGCTCAATCGTTTTGAACATCATATCTTCCCAGTGCGTAGTGCGAATGGCACCAAACTTGTCTAGCATGTTTGTGTCAAACTCATATCATATAGCTTGCCAAGGCTATAGTGGGGTAGACACTATGGGGTACAGTTTCCTAGGGTTTCCTACTTGTACCCAACCTTGTGCTAGTTCATTCATTCCTCATTCTTTCACATAGTATAGAGCAGGTTCCCTAGTGGGAACGCTTCCTTGGGCCCACCACTGATTTTTTTTTCTGACCGGAGCGCGAGTCGCTTCTGCCCGAGGCGCGCCTTGTGGGCCGCCCTTCCGTCGAGGTCCCTTAGAGGCCCCTCCCACGGCCCCCCGTGCTGCCCCTCGCGGCCCCTAGCGGCCCCGTCGCCGCCCCTACGCGGCCCCGTAGCCGCCCCTAGCGGCCCCGTCGCCGCCCCTACGCGGCCCCGTCGCCGCCCCTAGCGGCCCCGTCGCCGCCCCTAGCGGCCCCGTCGCCGCGTCTCCACCTACGCGGCCCCGTCGCCGCCCCTAAGCGGCCCCGTCGCCGCCCCTACGCGGCCCCGTCGGCGCCTCTAGCGGCCCCGCCGCCACCTCCCTACCTACGCGGCCCCGTCGCCGCCCCTACGCAGCCCCGTCGCCGCCCCTACGCGGCCCCGTCGCCGCCTCTAGCGGCCCCGACGCCGCCCCTAGCGGCCCCGTCGCCGCCTCCCTACCTACGCGGCCCTGTCGGCGCCCCTACGCGACCCCGTCGCCGCCCCTAGCGGCCCCATCGCCGCCCTCAGCGGCCCCGTCGTTGCCTCCCTACCTACGTGGCCCCCTCGCCGCCCCTAGCGGCCCCGTCGCCGCTCCCCTCCCTACGCGGCCTCGTCGCCGCCCCTAGCGGCCCCTTCAGCCACCGAGCCGCCCAACAGCTGAGCCGCCCAGCAGCCGAGCCGCCGAGCAGCCGAGCCGCCCAGCCACCGAGCCGCCCAGCAGCCGAGCCGCCGAGCAGCCGAGCCGCCCAGCAACCGACCCGCCGAGCCGCCCAGCAACCGAGCCGCCGAGCCGCCCAGCGGCCGAGCCGCCGAGCCGCCCAGCAGCTGAGCCGCCGAGCCGCCCTGCCGTCGAGCCCCTACTGCTCCTACCGGCACGCCCCGGCCCTACTTACTCGGACAAGTGAGATCACTCCCTGCTAGGCCACTGCAGTCATGGCTACCCCCAGTGTCCTTACCTTTGATGCTGAGGGTCGTGCGGTTGACTTTGAGGTCTGGGTCGATGACCTCCAGCTGTTCCTACAGTGCGATAGGGCAGACGGACTCTCTCTATTTGATCTCACCTCTGGTGTCTCTCCTGCCCCGCTTGCTACTGCTGACAGCACTGTTCGCTCACAGTGGGCCACACGCGATGCTGCTGCCCGCCTTGCTGTGCGTCGCCACTTACCGACCACTGAGCGTGCGCACTTTAGCCAGTACAAGAGTGCTAAGACCTTGTACGACGCTGTAGTTGCACGCTACTCCTCCCCTGCCACCGCTGCGCTTAGCCGCCTCATGCTGCCGTACCTGTTCCGTGACCTTGCTGCCTTTCCCACAGTCGCTGACCTCATTACGCACCTTCGCACGAGTGACACTCGCTACCTCGCTGCGCTTCCTGCTGAGTTCTGTGCCAAGAACCCCCCCCCCCCCCCCCCCCCCCCATGTACATCGCCCTCTACTACATAGTCACCCGGCTCCCTGACTCCCTTCGCTTAGTCACGGACCACTTCCTCTCAGTTTGCCCCACCACACTCACCGTTGACCTCCTCGAAGAGCGCCTCCTAGCAGCAGAGAAGAGCATAGTCGCTGTAGGAGCCTCTCGTGGTGACCCTCGCACCCACGTCTTTGAGGGGTGTACTCCCTCCCCCCTCTTGCCCTCTGTTGCTTCTGCTGCTGCGGCCGGCCTCGTTGGTTTCGAGTCGGTCGGCGCTGCGTCTGCCCCTAGCGGGAGACGCAACACCGGCAAAGGCAAGGGGGGCAAGGGCGCTGGAGGGGCTGGCGGGGGCGGTGGAGGTGGTGGTGGAAGCAGTGGGGGGGGTGGGGGTGGTGGTGGGAGTGGTGGCGGGGGTGGAGGTGTCGGTGGCAGCAGTGGAGGCGGTGGAGGCGGCGGCGGTGGCGGAGGGAGCGGAGGCGGCGGAGGTGGCGGAGGCGGCGGAGGTGGCGGATGCGGCGGAGGTGGCGGAGGCGGCGGCGGCAGCGGTGGAGCTGGTCGCGGCTCTGCGCCGAGGAGTGGCTCCGGTGGTGGTCCGCGCCAGCAGTAGCAGCGCAGTCGTGAGACCCTGTCCCCTCAGCAGCTTCGTGAGTGGTACGCTGCGCGTCAGCGCGGTGGGGGTACTGGTCCATGCACCTACGTCCTCCGTACCGGCGACCGCGCTGGTGAGCAGTGCGGGGGCCCGCTCTCCACTTAGCGCTGCTTCGGCCGCCTGACTGACGCGTGGCGTCACCAGTTCCCTGAGGCCTCTGAGATCCCTCGCTGGGGAGAGCTGTCTAGGGCGGGGGTTGCTATCTTTGATCTTGACTATGATGCTATTCTTGCTACCATGTATGCTGTGTCTGATAGTGATGAGGGTGACTAGTACCTGTGTGTTCCGCCTGACCCGGGCATTGAGGCTGCTGCTCTAGGTGCTGGTGAGGCTGCTGCTCTAGGTGCTAGTGCGTGTGCTGCCCCAGGTGCTGGTGAGTCTGCTCTCTCAGGTACTACGTCGGCTTCGGCCTTACACACCTTCACCGTTGACTTGGGTGCTTCCCGCTCCTTCTTTCGAGACCGCACCACGCTTACGCCACTTAGTCGGCCGGTTGCAATCTCCCTGGCGGACCCCTCTGGGGGTCCTGTCCGTGCTAGCTTCTCCACTGTCTTACCGTGCCCGGCAACCCCCTCTGGCACCCTGTTCGGTCTCTACCTCCCCTCGTTCTCTACGAACTTGGTGAGTGGAGCTGATCTACAGGATGGGGGGTTTGACCAGTTCACTCCTGCGAGTCAACGGGTGACCCACTGTACGTGTGCTCGGACAGGCCGACACTTGGCCACGTTCACCCGTCGGCCGGGGTTGAGCTTGTACACACTTACTACTGAGTCTCCTTCGACTGCTGAGCCTGGTTAGGTAGCTGCGTCGAGTCAGGTGTTTGCTGCAGCGTCCAGGTCTGGTCCCTGCTCGTGTCGTCTCCTGTCCCACCAGACTCTCCACTGGCACCACCGCCTTGGTCACCCCTCCCTGCCTCGTCTCCGAGGCATGGCCTCGCGTGTCCTTGTCTCTGGTCTCCCCCGGTCCCTCCCTCCCCTTCCCCCGGGGCCTGCCCCTACCTGCGTTCCCTGCGTCGAGGGGCGGCAGCGCGCCGCTTATACCATATAGTATACCCCACTACAGCCTACACAGACTATAGCATATAAGTTTGACATTTCAATCTCCTCCAGGCTACGGGCTTAGCGAGCAAACCTAGATACGAAACGTGGGAATGCACAGCAAATAGCGAGACACGTGGAAGCAACGGACGTCACGGGGTGCTTGCCGAATCTAGCGGAATCACGCGACGAAATTCACCGTAGGATTGTGATCTACATATCAGGTTCACTCGTTTTGGACTACTACTGTGTAGTGGTGGTCCTTTCCTTACGTAGAGAAGAGCGTGCAATCGAAGCTACTTCCTCACCGCCATTTTTGAGCGTGAACGAAATCACGCTAGAGGCCTAACACGAGCAAACCCTCGTACTGATTCCCCCCCCTCCAATCTGCGCCAGCTCCCCATGGCGCAGGGTTTTCGCGGAACAGTCAACCCAGGGTCGAAATTCGTTGACCCTGGTTTGACGCGAGCCTCACCTTCCCATAACCTTCCTACAAAATTGCTTCCCCCTGGCTGCCGAACTGGGCCCTGAGATATACAGTGAAGTGTTCTACAGACTCCCCAATTGACGGGCGGCGTCAACAGTATTGACGGCCATCACTTTCCGATGGCTTCGCGAACCGAAGGACCGTCAGATGTCATCACCAGATGTGTCGCACAGTGTCCTGCCGCTATCGGCGTTCAAAACGTGACGACCGTCATTGGTTGAGATTCATCTGATCAGCGCACGCACAGCCCGCCAACGGTTGGATTCGGTACTGGAGCTGATAGGATTTGGGGCCCTCTTACTCGGAAGACCAGTTAGCTGGAGTTGGTCTTTCAGTAAGGGTGCGTCAACCATGTCAGTCTTTTTTATCAGTGTCAGCTGGAAAGGTACTCTTACTCTTCAGTGTACACATTTTTTTCACCCTTTCATGCTTAGATTAAAGCGGTACATATAAAGGAAGGCACAAACTAACAGAGCAGCTAGAGCACCAGCGCCTAGTTTTAACAGAATAAGCTGAGCAGTGAGCACACAAGTTAGTACGGTACAGGAACTCATGAGTGGGCCCTTCTTGCTAGCATTGAACATTGCTATGCACGAGCCCCGCGAGTGAAACTCGACTCTGGTTGCCGCCACTTCTTCAGTGCCTAAGCGGAAACAGATTTCAGCTTCTTGGCATCAGAGTCGTCAGCAGCAGCAGTATATGTTACATGTGTCGTCGCTTTTCGTGGTGCCAGTTCAGACGTCGTGGTGCAGGTCACGCCCCACTCCATCCAGCCCGGTCTCAGCCTCCAGTACAGGCGACTACGGGCTCTAGCTCAAGCAGCCGCTTAGTAGGCCCTGTTAAAAGCTAAGGCTCGTTTGCGAGGGTAAGTGCTGGACCAGACGACGCCTTGTCGTCATCTTCACCGCTGGCGTCAACAGCCATGACGAGGGACTTGGAGGTAGATGCTGGAGCTAGGCCTATGATATCAGCAGAAAGGCGTGGTGTGCAAACCCTAGACGAGACCACGAGGAGGAAAACTGGATGAGAGAAATTAACTCACTGGGTTGGGGTTGGGTGAGAGTGGCTGGGGGAGGGAGGAAGGGACCAAGAAGAACTCTCCTGCACGATGCACATCTGCGTGGCGCTGCGCGTCACCGCCAGGCAGGCAAAATGCAGGTGATACGGGTACAGTTGGCGATACTGTGGCTATGACGACGCGAACGGTCTTGGCGACGCGCAACTCTTGTGACTCGGGCAAATCACCGCTAATCGCGACAAAAATCACGTCGGTGAACCCCCCCAACCCCCCCCCCCCCCCAAAAGAAAACTCGCTTCAGTGTTGTACCCAACACTACCTTTAGTCATTAGGGCAAGTACACCAGGTCGGTCTGAAATATCAGTGTTACACAAAAATTCATTTTTTCGTGTAAGGGCGCCCTAAAATACAACTCTGCAAAATAAGGGTGAACACCTAAACCCACCCTTATAGTAAGGGTTATAAGGGTGATTTACCCTGATATCCAGAGGCCTGTGGTGCGTGTATGACATCTAAAAAATGTCGGGTCTATTTCCGGGCGTTAACAACCATACTCAGGTTGTAAACAATGTATCTATGCCCAATGATTGCCCGGCTGTAAATAAGGCAGACTTTAGCCGTATTGGGGTCGATAATTGCCGGACCGTTAATTACCCGGGATGGCCCTTATTGGCTGTAAATCAGCATGGCGCCGGGGTCAGAGTTCTCCACTTACTGGGGTTGAAATGGCAGTGAACCAGAGGGCCATTCACAGCTGTTTCTAGTTCTGATAAAAATAGCCAAACTGTCCTTGTTTACAGTCACTCAAAAGCCACCATAACTAGGTCTTCACTTCCTGGAAACACCCAATCATTAACTAGTGGTAGAACCCTAATAATAGTAATAAAACACAATGTGATTATCAACTAACTGTAGAAAATTTGAGCATACATTAGACCAGCAAAACTACAATTAGAAAACCTGGGTTTATGGCAGCAACCCAGCAAACTCGTCCCCAAACCCTGCGATCACATTGCGCACTAACGGGTTTGCTCCCATCTGAAAGCCTGCAGGGGTAGTGTTGCGATAGATATTATCCCCACGGGATAACCTATCCTTAATCCAATCAATAATCACCCCCACTTTCGGCTGCACTTCCCTCATGTTGTTGGAGTCACTGCCATCTAGGGCAGGCGTGTCACGACTCCCCGCATTTGCCATGGGCCATTCAACCTGCAGGGTACATTTGAAAATATATGGGAAAATGGGGAGCAGGGATAGAGAGGGTGTGTCAGAAAAAATCAGGACGGTGAGGGACAGGTGCATAGCAGAATGGGGAGCAGAAAGAGAGAGGGTGTGCTCGAGCAAAAACTGGATCGTTCGCAAGGGAAACAAACATTGCAAGGGAAACAAACTCACCACATGGCAAAGCGTTGCCACCACTGGGATCTTGGCAAACATCGTCTTACCCCTGTTACCGCCAAGTCCCTTGCAGAGCGCCATATCAAACACCTTGTTGGCGAACGGGCGCCCCGTGTCAGGATCGAAGTGCCACTTGCTGCCATAAACGGCTGCAAGCACAGAAATCCGCTCGATGTAAGCACAATACATGCGGATCTCAGGAAATAACGTCTGGAAGTGCTCGGGGCATGCAACGTTAAAAACGAGGCGAGTACTTACGATCGAAATAGAAAAGGTGCCACTGCTGGACGTTGCGGCGCTACACCGGCGCCATTATCTCAGCAGCCAGCATGGGAATCTTCGATTCCCTAACGAACCCGCCTGGCCCATGTGCCCACGTCTTGACCTGCGTGAAGAGGTTGCCCTGACGCTCGCCGACCTTGTCTTTAAGAATCCTCTCCCGTTCCGGGTGAGAGTTCATGACAAGGTTGAACGTTTCCTCGGAAACGTTCACCAGCCGATACGTACGGATGAGTTGCTGCCTCAACTCCTGCGGCTCAGGCCAGAAGTTCATCTCCCTCGGAGGAGCCTCAGCAATGAAGTAAAGAACCGCTTGGTTCCACTTTGCCTGCCATGCACAAGACGGAAATGCAAAGTGCAAGATATCGGTTGAAGGCAAGCATGTATGGATCCATGGCTCTACCAACCAAGCATCGATTGCGACGGTGGGTGGGTGGGAATACGAGGTTACGAGCATAGAATCAAGGTACATAAGGTACCGGGGTGGGTGGGTGGGAATACGAGGTTGAGCGCGGAACATTGAGGGTATAAACGAAAGCTAGGCGGCGGGTATTCAGAATCAATGCGCACGATTTACCGTGAAAAAGGTGAGCTGGGTAAGCGATTCCGGAAGCTTGGTCGAAGGTTCACGAGCATCCGGTCGAGGTGCTAGGGATCCCGGATGAGCGAGGGGGGAGCCAAGTGAGCGACAGGTGTTTGGCGCGAGCGGCACAGGAATCGCGGAGGTTGTCAGTGATCGTCCGACCGCCCCAGGTGCGACCGCAGGCGCCAGAGTTGAACAAACCACATTGTGGCCCCGTGAAGTACTTGCAACGTTGACCTCAGTGTTGGGGCTACGGCTCGCTGAGGGCAGCGCGAAACTTGGGGCGGAGCTGCTCGCCCGGAGCAGTTGATTCGCCTGCTAGCTCTCCTCCAGTTGCCGCCGAATGTTCGCCAATGTCTCCTGCTGTAACTCGACCGTGCGATGGTGATCAGAAGCTTCAGCCTGTGCTCTGTCAACTTCCTGAACAACTTCTGCAAAACACCATGCATTTCACATCCATACCACATCACAATCACACGAGGAACATCCACCACGAACACAGCAACGGGTAAGGACTAGTCATGCGCATAAAACAAAACAGCAACAACACAGTATCAGCAAGGAATCCTTACCTTAGCAAGAAATCAGCAACGGGTGTATGTATCCTTACCTTCTGGTTTTTTCTGGCGTTTACCCTTCCGCTTCGAGGTGGGGTTAGAAGATCCGGCATGCATAGCGACAACAGAACCTTTCCTGCGCCGAGGAAAGGCGCGGCCGTCGTCACCGCTGTCGTCGTCGTCCTCGCTAGCACCGGGTTCATTTTCGTCCACATCGTCCGCTGCTTCTAACGCCGACGACAATGTCTGTCACTGGATCCGCCTCAGGCGCTAATGGAAGGTTGAAAACTACGCCAGGCTCGTCCACATCAGCCTCCTCAGACGACAGTTGCTGATCAACGAGATCTGGCGTAAGCAGGTTGGCAGACTCAGAACTGGAGGAGCTCTTGCGGGTGAACTCCGCACTGACTTAAGACATAAAAAACCTGAAGCTGCTCAGGCGACATTCCATGTTGGTTTAGTGTCGAATTGTCGGTTTGGTTACCGACAAAAACCTCATTCGCAGCTGTAACACTAGCCTTTCGCCCACGTAAGGTAACACCAAGTGTACCAGTGTTGTACCTTGCAGACACCACTGCTGGTCTCTGAGGGCGGCCCGTAGGAGGCTCACTTCCAGGACGGGGATGAGGGCGTGGGGTCACCTGTTGAAATGAATGAACAGGAATGATTGAATTAACAGTGAAATCAGTACAAGTACCTAACCCTAGAATTGTGTACCCCCTATAGGCTAACCCACCGTAGCCTAAACAAGCACAACATATATAATGTTTGACACACCCCCATAGGCGAAGTGGGGGAGAACTAGGGGTCACAAGACCAGTCAAGTAAAGCAAAGCAAAGCAAGCTCAGGGTGGATCACAAAGTCACCACACATTCCGAGCACAAGTTCAAGGCCACAAGGCCAGTTCACATGCAGGGGTACATATATATATAAGGCTAGACAAGCAAGAGCAGGTATATATATATATATGTAACTGAACAAGCAAGGTCAAGAGGTGAGCAAGTGAGGCAAGACATGTACAAGACCCAGCTGGGTGCAGAAGCACTGATGATCACAAGGCGCAAGTGCCTTGGTGAAGACATCAACAGTGTTGGCCTCAGAGGCCACGTACGCAAGCCGCAACTGACCACGCTGCTGTAGCTCACGAGCAAGGAAGTAGCGGAGAGCAATGTGCTTTGTTCTGTGCTCCAGTCTCTGCTCTCGACACAAGGCCAGCATGGCCTTGTTGTCTACGTACAGAACTAGAGGAGAACGAGGCGGCTCTCCAAGGCCGGTCAGTAGGTAGGTGAGCCAGCGAAGCTCCTGAGCAGCCATGGCCCCTGCGTAGATCTCAGCCTCACAACTGGAGCCGAGAACAGAAGACGAGCGAGTAGCCCGCCACGAAACAGAGCCGGAACCAAGGCTCAAGGTGTAACCCTGTGACGACCGCTGCGTAGCCTGGTCGTCAGCCTAAGAAGCGTTTGCGTGACTAGTGAAGACCACTGGACTCCGCCCTCCAAGCACTAGCCCCATGCCCGACGTACTGCACAAGTAGCGCAACACCCTCTTCGCTGCAGCCATGTGCTCTGGTCGGTGTCTCCCAGGAGCAACATAGCGTGCGAGAATGCTAAGAGGGTATGCAAGGTCAGGTCGTGTGCAGGTCATCAGGTACATGAGGCAGCCAACAAGCTCTGGGTACGGGCCACTCGACTCTACGGACTCATCCGAAGGCAGAGCTGAGAGCGAGTAGCGAGTAGGCAGAAGAGTGGCCTGAGGCGAGGAGTACGTGAAGCCGAAGCGCTGAAGGACCTGCTGCACCAGGTGTGACTGAGTCAGGGTGATGGTGCGGCGTGCTCTGTCCCGGGTGATCTGCAAGCCAAGGTAGCTGCGCAGTTCACCCAGGTCTGTGCACGTGTGTCTCTTCTGCAGCTCGGACTTCACGTAGGCGAGTCCAGCAATGTCAGCTGTGGCAAAGACCAAGTCGTCGACGTACACGAGGATGTAGAACGGCGGCTGAGAAGTGTCGGTGCGTAGAACCAGCGACGGGTCTGCAGTAGAGGGAGCAAACCCAAGAGCCGCAAGCGTAGTCCTCAGTGTGTCGTGCCACTCACGCGGTGCCTGGCGGAGACCGTAGACTGGCCGCCGGAGGCTCCACTGGGTGCCAGGAGGAAAAGTCCCAGTGAAGCCAAGTGGGCGGCGCAGCCATCTCCTCGTGCAGGCTGCCCTGCAGGAAAGCAGTGCTGAAGTCAAGAGAGTGTAGCTCGTAGTTACGGTGAGCAGCTACGTGCAGTAGTACCCGAAGAGTGGTCATCTTCGGGGTGGGAGAGAAGGTCTGAAAGTAGTCAACTCCCTGCCGCTGACTGAAGCCACGAGCCACGTAACGCGCCTTGAAGACAGGCGGGGAACCCGGCGGCCGCTTCACCCTAAAAATCCACATGCCACTGACGATATTCGCCTCAGGAGGGGGGACAGCGTCAACGTAGGTGCCTGTGGACTTCCAGGAAGCCATCTCTGCATCCATAGCTGCCTGCCACTGAGAAGAGTAGGGACCCTCTATCGCCTCCGTGTAAGAGCGCGGAGTCGGGATGTCAAGTGCATCCGGGTCTCCCTCAGGGGTAAGCAGTACGGACACGAGATGAGGTGAAGCAGCGGCCAAGCACTAGAACTCCTCCTGCCTGTCCTCAAGGTCGTCCGTGCCAAGGGCACACTCACCCCCGACGGACGGAGGACAGACAGACTCAGACTCTGAGACAAGACTAGCAGCGTAGTCTAGACGACAGCGAGCAGCAAAGTCGACGAGCTCAACAACTAGGGCAGACGCAGCAGTGGACTCAAAAGAAGGGTGAGTGACGACAGTAGCAAGGAGACGCGTGACAGTAGGACTGGCAGCACGAAGAGAGTCCGACTTCGGGTCGGGAAGAACAGGAAGAGAGGACTCAGGAGGAGAAGGCAAAGGGGCACGCAGAGGAGCAGTGGACAGACGCAGAGACATCCGGTGCGTGCCAAGGACAGGAGGAGGACGCTGACGCGAACCGCAACCACTAGTGCGAGCAGTACGGACAGGCGAAGCAGGGCGAGACGCAGGCTCACGACGCTCAGCAAGACCTCTAGTAGGACCAGTGTAGGGAGAAGGAGCAGGCAGTGGAGAGGCGGGCTGTAGCTGTAACTGTGACTGGACAGGCTGTGGACACTCTAAGGGAGGAGGAGGACCAAGAGAAGGCGGGAGACCAAGAACCTACTGAAGGAGCGGAACGAAGTACGGCCGCTGCCGTGCACCGACTCCAGAACCAGTAGAGACACCAGCGCCAGGGTCCTCCGCACCAGCAGCAGCTCCAACGCCCGGGTCCTCTGTACCAGCAGCAGCTCCAACGCCCGGGTCCTCAGCATCAGCAGCAGCACCAGCGCATCGGGTCCGCAGCACCAGCCGTAGCTCCAACGCCCGGGTCCGCAGCACCTGAAACAGCTCCAACCTCTGGGGCCGCAGCACCAGTAGAACCAGTAGAGTCTCCAGCACCAGCAGCACCACCAGCAGCAGCGGGGTCCGCGATACCAGGCGCGCCACTCCGAAGAGTGCAGCGCCGCTCGTACCACTCACGGATCCGCTCACGGGAGGAGAGCTCTCGGCTAGGAGGAGAAGCACTAGCACCAGTCCCAGTAGTACGCCTGGCTCCAGAGGTACCTCTTCTGAGGCTGCAGTACGGGAAGTACCACTCACGCAGCTGCTCCGAGGAGAGGGCTCCGCCAGGTGTAGGACCCTCAGGCTCAGGACCTCCAGACTCAGAACCCCCAG